CAGCCTGGGTTCGGGGCTCCTGGCCCAGGACACCCTGCGGGCCGTCTCTAGCTGCGGTTTTCCTTCTCTCTCTCTGGCTCAGACCGGCCCTGCCTGCTCTTCCATCCACAGGCCCATGGCATTCACGTCTAACCTACAGCCTGAGCTCCCCCAGGGGGCTGTGCTCTTGTCTCAGTACCAGAGGCCCCAGGGAAGGAGCCGATGGGGTCAGGGGCTCCTCAGCCACAACCGGAGGCTGGGGTGGCGTGGCGCCACTGACGCCTGGTGGCCCCCCTGGTGGCAGGATGGGGTGGGGGCCGCTTCTCTGCACCAGCAGGGGGCTGGGGTCCTGGTCGTGGTGTTGTGTGTGGCTTTTCTGAGTGCTGGGCCCTCAGTGCTCTCTCCCCACCCCGCAGCGTGGAAGGCGAGTACGTGCCGGTGGAAGGCGACGAGGTCACCTATAAGATGTGCTCCATCCCGCCCAAGAACGAGAAGCTGCAGGCCGTGGAGGTGGTCATCACCCACCTGGCGCCGGGCACCAAGCACGAGACCTGGTCGGGCCACGTCGTCAGCTCCTAGGAGGGGCCGGAGCACCCCTCCTTCCGGCTTGCGGGAGACTCTGGGGGGAGGAGGCGGCAGGACCAACCTGGAGAGGACTTTCCACCGCTTGAGATGGGGCTTCAAAGGGGGGAGCACGGGCCCTTTCAAGTCTCTCCTGCAAGAAGGGGTGTGGGGCAGGCACGCGGGTGCTCTCGGCCACCAGCACGGCTCTGACCATCACGACCTCTCACCATCTGAAAAGCATTAAAAGCATTGCAAAAGGAGAGGTGCCGGCTGGTGGCTGAGTGGAGGGTCCAAGTCCAGCCCAGGGGATGGGTCAGGGGGTGTTCCTTTGTCCCCTGGAGGCTCAAAGTCCAAGATCCGGCCCACCGGGGGGTGACATGGGCCCCGAGCGTTTCCCTGCGATTAATTCCCACCGAGCGCCCGCCCTTGAGTCTCCCCTGGGCCCTGGGTAGGACAGTTTGTTCTGATCTTCGGCTTGGTGGGCTCTAGGGGAGCGCGTTTCAGGGGGTCAGGGGTGGGGACACGGGGGTGTTTGGTGCCTTTGCCGTGGGAGGTGTCACAGCTGCGTGTCAGGGGAGCCCCGAGCCCTCGCCTGGCAGTGCTGTGCTTAGAGCTGAATTCTCTCTTTCAGAGCCTGGTCTTTTCTGTCCGTCTGCAAGCTGAGTGCCCATTGCCTTCATCTAGGCGAGGGGTGGGGGTGGGGAGGCAGTGGGAGAAGGGAGCGTGGAGAGGGGAGGGTCTCTGCTTAAAAACAGACCTTTCTCCCGCTCCATCCGGAAAAGAGTGGGTAGCTTGTTTCCAGAGAACCTGGCCAAGTCAGAAGTGGAAGGAGAAATACACCTTTGGTGAAGGGGTCCCTTTAAAACTGGTGTGAAGAAATGCTCAGGATTTCTTTCTTTTCTTAAAAAAAAATAACTAAAGCTCTCACCCAGAGCCAGCCCTGTTTGTACTTTGGGCGACATTGCAAACTTTTCTAGATACTTCCAGTAAACCAATCCTTAGGATTTTCTTTGCTGTGGTTTGGTTTGGCTTTAGTTGTGACTTAAAAATAGAAATAGCTGGGTAATATATTTGGAAATACGTGGCCTGTTTGTAGCCGAGGATCCATTTGTCAACACAGGAAAGTGAACTCTTCAAAGCGGGCTTTTGGGCAGATGAGGATGTTCCAGATGAAGGAGGCGATGATGGCGCGGGAGGCAGTAGCGCCTCATCGGGTCTTCCTTCTGTGGACGGGTTTGTCTCATCCCAGGACCTGCTTCATTTGAAAGGCGGTGGAAGGCTAGACCTATTTTACTGATGCTGGTGGAGCTGTTTTCAAACAGGCAAAAAAGTGTTTTGAGGATGTGTGTGCAGTGAAACGCGGTTAAGTGGATCCGCCTGTCCCGGCCTCTCAGGCCTCTTGAAGGGTCCCCTGCTTCCCACCTCCGCCATCTGCTGGGCCAGGGTGGCTTTTTCCCCTCCAGCCTCGGATGTTGCCCAGGGGGCCCCTGGAGGCCTCTGTCTGTCGGGTGCAGACCACACTTCCCAAGCTGCTTCTGCCAAGACCCGTCTGGGCTCCCGGAAGTCGAGAGCCTGCATCTTCACTCCTGCCCCCCTCCAGGTGTCTCTCAGGCCTTGTCCTCACCTTCGGACACAGTCTCGGCTTTGTGTGACCCCCTAGGCCCTGCCCGACAGTGCCCTGGCAGTCGGATCCGCTGTCAGAGGTGACCTTTGGAGTCTCGCTGGGTAGAACCCAGCGGCTTGCTCTGTCGGTGGGACCACGTCTTCTCCAGTCGATGGGTATTCTAGAACTGCAGGATGTCAGAGCTGGAAGGGACACCCCCTCCTCACTCAAGCAGAGTCTCCATTTATAGAAACTTCTCGAGGCTCTGGGAGGATGGATGGTGTTGGGGGCAGAGCTGGGAACAGAATCCAGGATTCCTAACTCCACATCTTTCCTCCCACCGGCCACCGTTTTCTCAATAAAGTTTGTTTTGTGCAAGGCTGTGTGTGGCTTGTTAATGTGGAGGCTGGCAGGTCAGGGCGTCTTTGTCCGACCAGGCTGACAGTTATCCTGCTCCGAGTCTGGTTATTCGGGGGATGGATAAGATGATGGGATGGTCCCTTTTCCCTGGATCATCACTCTCAAGCATAAGAAAGCTGAGCCGTAGAATGTGGCTTCGTGACAACAGAAAGCGCCATTTACTCGGTCAGTTGTGGACACGGGCCCTGCCGGTGCATTTAGACTTTGATCGGGTCAGTGTGAGTGACCTTGTCCCAGCGCACACCTGTGGGAGAGGCGGGGGTCGCAGTGCTGCCTGGACTGAACCCGAACGCTGAGCTCGCTCTTAGTCCGTCCCTTGTGCACGCCACAGACGGCCGAGGAACGCGTGCTGCTCTCCGGGCGCTGGGTCGGGGCTGGAGATCAATGCGGCCATCCCCGCCATTGAGGATCCCAGGGCCCCCAGGCTGATGCGCTCTGGCATTAGGTGGGGGTGTGCTAGGTGCCACAGGGGCCTTGAGAGGAAGCCACCAGGCCAGCTGGGGCGGAGAGGGCTTCCCGGGGGGCTGTCTGAACCCACCCTGAGGAGGACTGGGGTGTGCTGGTGGAGCGCGGGGTGGGGGCAACGCAGAGGGGAGGTCAGAGCGGGCGGTGGGAAGGCCCCCTGTTGGTCTGCGGGGGCGGAGAGGCTGGGACCGAGGCAGGGCAGCTCTGGGAGGGACTGTCCGGCTGGGAAGGCCTTCCAGGGCCAGCGTTTCCCAAGGGAGGGAGGAAGGGACTTTTGGTGGCACTGAGATGAACATTTCTACTCTAATAAAATATTGATTTTCAAAGTGTTTTAGGAACAATTATAACTAGCCCATCAGACCTGTTTAGGGAGGGGGCACAGCAGGCGTTTAGCTCCAAACAGCGAGAGCTGTCGACGTGCCCTGAGCGAGTGTGACACGGGCTGGGAGGGAGGGCTCGGCAGAAACTGCAGGTGTGCCAGGAGGACTGCTGTGGGGAGACAGGCTGAGTGTAGGGGTAGAAGGAGTTCCCCAACGTGCCTCTGGGTGCTGCGGAGGGCGGGGCCGAGGTGGAAGGGAGCCTGGAGGCCCTGCCTGGCCCAGGTGGCCTGCCCGGGCCAAGATCAAGGAGCTGTCGGAGGAGGAGGAACAGGAAGCAGGTCTTGGAGAGGAAGTGATTCAAGGCCGCCCGGGCCCACCCGCCCGCCCACCCGACTCCGAGTACTGCTGCAACCTCTGCCCAACTCGCTCCTCCCCGGCCCCTCCTCCGGTCACTCCCCACCCGTAGGCTGGAGAGACTTTGCAAAGTGTCACGCAGAAGCTGAGCCTCCCCGGCTCCCCTCCCTGGGGGCCTCTCCCTCCAGCTGCCGCCCCGTGTCCCCTGTCCCCTCCACCCACGTGCCATCCACATGGGCCTTTCCCCTGAGGCTTCTGAAGCCCTGGGTGACCTTGAGTCCAGGGCCAAATACCTGGGCAGCTTCTGCAGTGCTGGGTTCGGGGGGCTCACTTGGCTTTCTTAACAGCCCCAGGCTGGCCTGCGGCAATCTGGGCGTCCCTCTTACACAACACTTAGCTGCTGTGTCTCAGTCTTTTGTGGTCGTGTCTTCATCCGGTGACCTCCAGGAGGCTGGGCGCAGGACTGCCCTCCTGCTCATCTGGAAAGCACGGCGATGGGGCTCCCAGGGGCTCACCTGAGTCAGCAGTGGCTCACACACTTGGTTCCAAGTGCTTTGCCAGAATTCCCTCATCTAAGTTACATAACGTGCTGGAGGAGCTCGGCCTGCCACACAGCTGGCCAGCAGCAGAATGGGGATCTAAATCCTGGCAGCCCTGCTCTTACCTGCCAACTCCAGCTGCCGCCAGTCACTCGTCTTTTAGCTGTTACTACTTGAGCCTGGGGAGGTCCTGGTTGGGGAGGGAGGTGGGTATGGAATGGCTAGAGACAGGTGGAATCAACGACTGGGGAAGGTGGGACTGGGATGGGATGAGGTGCTAAGATGACAGAAGCAGGGGAAGGTGGGGTGGGGGGAAGTCCAAAGTGGTCTGGAGGGGAGAGCAGGTTGAGGCCACTCTGAGGATGCAGAGGGATGGAACGGAATGGAACGGAGAGAGCAGCAGCCACTGTGGGAATCAGCAGAAGGCCCGGCCTGCCAGCCTCAGGGCACCGCCCGGGGCAGCCCTCTATCTCCTGGTATAAAGATGAGGCCCAGCTGGAGTGAGACGCTTCTGCACAATATGGAGACTTCTGGGGAATCGGGGATCCTTGCCCAGTGGGCAGAAAAGCGAAGAGGCAGGGTCTGTGCCAGCCAGGAAGGGCGGCACCCTAACCGGACAGAAACCCCAGAGCCTCAGAGAGTGGCTCGCAGATCAGAAGGGCTGGGACTTCCTTCCAGAACGCAAGACGATATCATAGCTAATCTTTCACTTCACCTCTCATTTAACAAGGAGGAAAAAGTACTCAGAACGAAGAGTAGGAAACAATAAAATCACTTTAATTTGATACTTTTCACTTTGAAAGATTACAGTACCATTTGCAAAATTCAACAAGGAAAGAAGCCACCGGATGGCGTGTCCTAGGGACCAGGGAGAAATGGCGATCCTGTGTGTGGTGAATGGGCGGGCGAGGGGCGGACTGCACCCAACCTGGCCCCCAGCTCAGACCAGCCCAGGGCCAGGTTTGGAGGGAGCCAGGTTCCTCTGTGACCAAAGTGCCCGGGGAGGTTGGGGGCGGGGGCGAGGGTACAGAGCACAGGCTCCCTGGGCCAGGGGTCAGGCCAGCTGGCCCCCAGCAGAGGCCACGCTGTGGATGGAAGCCGGCCCCAGCACTGGTCTATGGAGGGTCTGTGGGTCCTGACATTTCCAGATGCTGAAAAGTGACGTTTCCTTGGAAAGCTCTTCCAGCATGTTCTCGACAAGGGCCTGGAGCTGCCTTCCAGTTTCACAAGGAACTTGCGGGTGGCCGGCCCAACCACAGCCGCCCCCAGCCCTCAGGTCCAGGCCTGGGTGGGCACGCTCAGTTATTAAAGAGCCGCAGAGAAACGGAGCAGCTCCCATTCTGTTAATCATCTGGGCTCTTACACGATCCCTGAGAAACCAGAGGCGAAGGCGGCCTCGGGGAGCCCCGTCCAGCCCCAGATGGGGAAGGGTCTTTTGGTGAAGTGTCATACCGAACCTCGTGTCTCGGGACCTGGGCGCAGAGCCGGCATCCGGGGAGGGCTGTGTGCCAGTGCTTGAGACGGCTGTTGGCTGTTTCCCCATCTCCACGGTTACAGAACCAGCAGGGGCTTTTCAGGGTGGTGAATGCAGAGCTACCTGCTTCTGAGGCCAGCCAAGGCATGAGCTCCTTGGGGTCGGCTGGCGCTTGGCCAGCAGTCCAGCCACAGGCCCCGCTGAGGTCTGTGTGTCACAAACAGGAAGCAGGTGGGAGAACAGAGCGCACGCAGTCACTTCGCTCTCAACCCGCCCCACGACCACGACCACAGCGCCGCCATCAAGCCCCCCCAGCTGGCACTTTCCAGGAGGGGTTTCTGAGCTTCTGTCCCGGGGCTCGATCGCTGTCAAGTCCCGTCCGTTCTTTCCCATCACCAAATCCCCTCTCGCATTGAAGCAGGAAGTCCAAACATTACCACCTGTTACATTTTTCACAAGACCCCTGAAGAGGGAGGGTCCAGGCACCTTCGTCCTTTCTGCATCATTCTAGAATGCTGGGGAAGTTTCCCAGAAAACCATGTGTCCTGTGATTGCAGTATCGGGGGTGTGAGATGCAGGGTGGGGGACAAGTTCCTTCACTGAGGTGTTCCTTGGAGCCATTCCTGACTAGTCCTGCCCGCTCCCTGGGGCTGTTCTGGCAGTGGGGGTGGAGGGTGATTCCCTGCAGAGTGGCGAGTGACAACATGGCTGTTCAGCCCGGTGTGAGGACTGGACTGAACGCCGAGAGCCTGGGGTGGGCCGGGGGCAGCGGGATGCGGGGGGGAGAGGGTGGTCCTGGCTTTGGCCACCGAATGACCCTGTCAGGCTTGTTGGCCGGGCCTCCCCCGCTGCCCCGGGAAGGGACCGTCAGAAGAGCTCCTCACAGATCCTGCGCGTGTCCTCGGGCGCTGTCACCGTGTAGCCCACAGTCCTCGGGTCTGTGAAGATCTCATGGTCATTCCCACCCTGCAAAGACACGAAGCAGACGTAGGGCCACCTCGTCTCTGCCCTGAGCCGAGGCTGCTGGAGAAAGGAGGACTCGCGAGTTGACTGGGCGGGAGGATTTCTCAGCCCCCTTTTTCTTAGCTTCCAGGAGAGGAAAGACGAGCACAGTCAGCACTAAGAAAGGGTTTATCACCTTCTCTTGACCTGCAATTTAGCTTGGAACATGTAATTACGCCTTTGAAAGAAATCACGATGTTCTTGTGAAGATCTGAGGCTTATGATACAAAGCAAGCAAGCACAGCAGGTGACAGCATTCGCTCTGCCATCAATTTGTTTGAACTGTGCCCAAACTTCTCCAAGTCACAGGAGAGTGTGGTGGGGCAGGCAGTCTACGGCAGCACTGCCCTTGACCTGTGGCCACGGACACGTCTGTCTCTGAGCTGACAGAGGCCGCTGGCCACATGCGCTGTGTGGCTAGTGCTGACATGACCCGAGTTTCATTCTGATTCATCTAGATTTAAACTGCCCCACGTGGCTGGTGCCTGAGGCGGGGGCCTGGTTGAGACCCTGGTTCCACCACCAGCTGGGGGTGTGCTGCCGCAACTTCCCTCCTGTAAGATGGGGCAATGGGGGACCCCGCCCGCAGCGCCGCGGGGACTGGCCACTGAGGCGATGGCATCCAGGTGAGGCCCCCAGGAAGCAGCTGCCGGGCCAGCACCAGCACCTACTTCGGCTTCCCAGTTTTCAGTGTTTCGCACGGTGTGTCTCCTGGGGCCGGGGGCAAGGCTTCTGTAAGGGCCTGTGCCTGGGAGGACCCGGCCGTGCTGCTGGGAGGTCCCAAGACGGTGGGCCCCCAGCCTGTGAGGCAGCCCCAGCCCCACTGCTCTCGGGGGAACGTCCCAAGATCCCAAGCACTGCAGGAAAGTCCTGGGTCTTCTCATGAAATTTCCTATATTTTCCTCATAAAATTGAAAAAACCACTTAGTTTATAAGAAAACGAAAGTAACTGCTGAGAAAATGGATTTTTCTCCTAGGGATTCTGTAGGAAAATCTGACGTCCTCTGAAAGGATTACCTGCCACTGCAATTACTACTGTCTCATTTGTAAGAGTCACCCACCCCCAACAGACAGCCCCCAGGTGGAGGGGAAGTCCTTGCGTTCAGGAGGGACCGCTGCCAGGGCCCACGGGACTCGGGGTGCGGGATGCACATTAGGAGGCATGAACTTGGAGCCACTTTCGGGCAATGTCCCTCCCTGGTGCCGACTCAGAAGCCTGCGGGGGGCCTCACAGTCTCCTGCTGTCAAGGGCTGTGGTCTCTCGGAGGGCCCTGAGCTTCAGGGCTAGCAGCTGCTACCTGGGCAAGTAGACGTGAAACCAGTCCTCATAATTCATATGATTAAAACCAGTCGGCTTTCTGTTAGGAATGGCGTGGTAGGTGAAATCCACCACAGAGAACAGAACAAAGGAGAAGCAAACTATCACACTCTCCACAAAAAGCGGCCAGCTATCCGGGACCCGGCAGTCCCCGGGCACTCCCGACTCGGGAGGGGAGTCAGTACTCCTGCGTGAACCCAACAAACCACGGAGGGCACCTCCTCCCCACCAGGCACGGTTCTAGAAGCTGGAGACACAGTGGCAAACAATCAAGGCAAGGGCGGCCTTCCCAGCTGCCGTGGGGGCGGGGCTGACGGTAAACAAACAACTCTGTAAGGCTGTCTGCAAACAGCAGGGGGAAGGGACCCAGAGTGACAAGGGAGGGGCCTCTGAGCAGAGACCTGGAGGAAGTGAGGGGACAAGCCACATGACTGGCGATCTGAGAGGGCAGCTCAGTGGGCCTGGCCGAGAAGCTGCTGGGGAGGAGCCGGGGAGGGAGCAAGCAGGGCTCGGGGCCCGCAAATCCCAGCCCGAGTTGGGGTTTTAGGAGCCACTGGAAGGAAGCTGCAGGCCAGGCTCCCCTCAATCAGACTTACCTTCAAGAGGGTCTTTCTGGAGAATGGATGGGGGATGAGGATGCAAAAGCGGAAGCTATAAGGACAGGGCCATTGCCCGGAGAAGGCGACCTCTGAGGCACAAAGGGAGGGTTTACAGCTGCCACGCCTGCCCTGCCCTGGAGGGGACGTCACGTGTCGGGGCAGAGGTGCGCCCAACAGATGCCTAACTGGACGTGACTCTCCTCCCATGGTCCTGCTAGGGCTGCGGTGGGGAGCTGTCTGTGGAATCCGAGGGGCCCTCTGAGCTCTGCGAAAATGCATTCCCTCGTCAGATGTGTCTTCTCCGCTGCTGTGCAACTTGCTGACACTTAACAAAGCCAGTCCGGAGAATCAACTCACGCCCAGGAAGGCGGGACCTCCCCCAGCCCCGCCGGGCCGGCTCTCCGGGTCCTTTCTCAGCTCTGCTTGCTTCCAGAGGGCAGCAAAGCTGGCAGGAGCGTCTGCACCACGGACACCACCAACCTCGGACCATCCTTTCTCTCCAGCCTCCTCCTTTGTGACTCAAAGCGCACAGGCTCCTTCCTGGGGCTGCCCGGGGCTTTCAGATCAGACTGGGAGTGAGGTCAGGAGAGGCAGAAACACTGAGGCAGGGAGGGGGCCACCCTCTAGAATAACGAGGCATCAGAGAACCAGACATTGCAAACACCGGATTTGCATATGCACCAAAGGTTTCTTGATTCCAGATCTGGCAAGCTCAGCCTCCTGCAAGCTCCAAAATCAAACCTGCTTCCTGAGAGAAGATACAGGGCAGGAAGGGTGAAGGCATGAAACACGGGTCACAGTCCTGTTAGGGTGTGCCTGCTAGGCCCACAGGAGAGGCCAGAGCTCAGTGCAAAGGCCCATTAATATGGAAACCCTACCAGGCCAGGGCCACGGGTGCAACAGGAGGCAGAGTGCTTGCCATGCAGACACCGGGGCTCGGGAGAACCCTCACCCCCGTCCCCTGCCCCCTGCCCGCACTGTCACTGAGCTGATGTGAAGAGGGTTGTGGGGGATCAGAATTGGCCATCCCAAGATGTGTTTCTTTGCCTTGACTATTTTTAAGAACAAAAGACTCTGAAAGAAACTGTGACCTTGCCTCTAACTGCCCAAAAGAACTTAAGACAGAAGGCCTGTCCCAGGAAGGAGCTGTCACCACAGGGAATTCTAGGGGTGGTGGACAGGAAGGCATCTAGCAAGGGCGATTTTATCCAAAGATCTCTTCTGGGCCCCCACTGTCTACAGATCTCCCAGCAAACATTTGCTTATAAAACATTTGCATTTCCACCTCCATGTAAATTGCCCCCCAACCTGTTTGAAGCCCCAAACCACTACCCCCAACATCCTCCTTTGTCTTTAGCTGAAGATGGTATTTAAGGTGGCAGCTTTGACCATTTTAGCGAGTTACTCAGTTTTCTTGGGTTTCTCCCATGTATACGTGTTATCAAACTTTGATTTTCTCCTGTTCTTCTGTCTCATGTCAATTTAATTCTCAGACCAGTCAGAAGGACCAAGAGGGTAGAGGAATGATCTTCCTCCCCTTAGTTTGGCGACGAGGATAGGATAAAACTTAACTGGCTGGGCAAAAGGCTGCAAATTTGGTGGACTTGGGTCGAGCAGTACAGAGCCATTAGGGTGCTCACCACCTCAAGGAGACTGCCATGATAGGATACGTTGGTCACAGCATGCGGAAAATGACATAGGTCAATGTCAAGAAAATGTCCCCGAAAGGAGGTACTCTGTAAAACAAACACACAGTCCCCAACCCTGCGGCACCTCCCATTTCAGTACTAGTTTGGCTCCAAGAGACCCAAAGCTTAACTAAGCTGTTAATGTGCATATAAGACGAGGTTTTCTTCTTTTGTCCTGTTCTATGTCTTGAGAGCTTGGCTTTGTGACCTTTAGGTCTCTGTCGTCCGGATGCACATCCTGGTGTGCATCTTGGTAGCCAGCTGGATAGACTGGGGTTCTGAGACACACTCTCTTTGTCCAGCTGTCCAGCTGTGTCAGCTCTCAGGGGAGTTTGTCATAAGGGTCCCAGCTGCTTTCATAAGGGGCCTTTGTCATCTCAACCGTCATTGCTTGTACTGCCTGTGCAATGCAGGCCTTTGCTTTCATAGACTATTTTTGGGAGAGAACTTTCCAGATCTTGTGAGGGCTGCTTCTTTCACACTCTCTTTTGGGGACGCCCCTCATGTCCATGGTAAAGCTGCAAAAGGCTTATTGGTATGAGTCGCTATTAAGATCCTACTTGTCAATGTGACCAGATAATGGATCATTTAAATTGGCAAAACTTTTAAGTTAAAAAAAATTTTTTTGGAGCTCTCATAATTGTTTTATTGGTACCGATGAAAAGGCCAAATTAAAAAAGAAATACCAAAAAAACCCAAAAAACGACTGGCCTTAAGACCCTGACTCAGGTTACAATTAAATTGAGAAAATGTCAAAGTATAAGTGTTGATAAAATTACAAAGGTTGGAATGTTTGAATAATTTTAGAGAAAGAGGTTATATCAAGCTTGCCTGAGTCTGTTTTCAAAATGTCTGGTGAGAATGCTTCCCCATCCAGCATTCTAAGACCAAGACTAAGACCAACTGATAAAGTCCTAAAGGAAGCTATGATTAGAGGTCTAAGAGTTGATTCATTCAGATAAAACTCTGTAGGAAAATTGACATATTTATGGGCTTTATGTGAAATGACTGCATCTTTCTGCCTGACTGTATTACAGGTTGTATCGTGGGGACAGACGTTGTGTCTCACTGGGGAACATTTCCCCTGCCTGACTGTAAGACAGCATATAAACTTGCCCTTCAGACAATGCTAATTAAACACACTAAAGGGAAGTCAACAGGCTGCCTGAGCCCTCATCCCATGGGATAAAACTAGAGGCTGTTATCAGGTGCTAATGAAAAAAGTAATACAAGCCCCCCACCAGCGTCAATTGGTCTAGGGTTAAATTGTGCACTTAGAAAAAGGGGCCTTTATTAAATGCTTTGTGCAGACTTTTAAAGGTGTGATACACTGTCCTGAAGTTTTAGAACATAAAAATC